GGAGGATGATCCTAGATCTCGGTGATGAATGCAATCTTCCGGCCGCCTGGGTTGCCAGAACATTACTACTATCACCGAGATCGGGACACTCTTCCCTCGGTGGAGGCCCGCCGCCGATGTTGGTTTTGGTGTCAGCTTCTGGGCCTCCGATCCTGAGGTTGGTCGCCCGGAAGTTCAGCGCCTGGTGGGCCGCCTGGGCCACCTCAAGCGTGGCGTCGTAGCCTGCGCCCGCGCCCCGGATCAGGAACTGGAAGGCCTGGGCCTCCTGCGCGAAACAGAAAGGGGGCTCGAGCAGGAAAAGGAAGAGGAGGACTACGACCAAGACATCTCGGCTCATGGAAGGAGCGATGACGACGGCGCCGACGACGGCGGCGACGGCGAAGACAGCGTCGTCGTAGAGTTCGAGGTCGGCGGCTCGACGTTTCGATGCTCGCGGGGCTCGAAGCGGGAGTTCTCGTCGGTCGTCGGCGGTTTTCCAGCCTCACGGTGCGTTCCGGCGGATCTCCTGAAGCGGCGCTGGACCCACCTCCCTGGCACGCGGAGCACGCCGCCAGGGAGCAGACCAAAGACATCCGCGCGGAGCTCCGAAGTTTACAATCATCGTGCTACCACAAGGGGCGCAACGTAAGGAACGATGGTGGTGTTCTGGCCTCGCCCCGAATAGTTCTCCGACCTAGATCTCAGGAACGGCCCGAACATCAGAGCCTCGCCCGGCCTCGAAGTGGTCCTTATGTCAGCGTATTGACTGTGCACGTCGGTCGGAAGAAGCAGGTAGGAAGGCAGATAAAGTAGGGCTGGGTCCAGGCCCTCCCAGAGAATAACAAAGCACAGCAAAAACGCACCGGCTCTTGAAATAGCAAGGCGCTTGAAGTGGCACCTGGGAACCCACACATCTCTACTTTCAACGACCGTCGTGTATGCTTAGAACATTACTTGAAAAGGAAACAACCAGATACACATAAGCTTTTGGCGCTCCGCGCGGAGCGCCAAAAGTTTATGGTTATGTGTGTGGGCGCTTTCTTGTTCGGATTATTTTCTCCAGTCCTGTGCCCTGCCGGCGTCGGCGTATACCTGCCTCCACACGGGCACGAGGCGGACCCGCCCAGAGAGGCTGCGGCTCTTGGAGCGTGTTTTCTTTATGTTCGGCGATAATGGGCATTCTAAAAGGGGGGAGGGGAGGGGGGGGGCCGGGGGGGGGAGGGCATACTGTAACGCCTCCCCCCCGCTGTGTGGCACGGCGGCAGTGCCCCGAGCGCACTGTGCGGGGGAGGGGCGTCACGTTCTAGAGCGGGGGGGGGCGGGGGCTATCATGCCCATCATGCCCCAGGCAATCAAGAAACACGCTCTTGTTGCGGAGGCCCCCCCATGGCTCGTACTCGCCGGCGGCCGCGGCCGCGGCACCCCGCTGCGTCGAGGCACCCCACTGCACCCGCAGGGAGAAGGGGCGGAGGGTGGCACTGCCTGCGCCGTTCGGGCCCTCCGCGTTGCGCTGGGCGGCGGCGAGCGAAGGGGGGAAGATGTAAGTCGGGCCTGTCCCTCTGCAGAAGGAATAGCACTCAAAACAAAGTCAACAAATAATATGGGGACGATGCTTTCACTGTTTTTTGCTATTTTGGTGTATTTTGGGGCTCTGTCTTGTTTTTCGCCCAAAATCCACCTGCAGCACATCGAAGACTCGAACCTGTAGGGAGGAGGAGTGGGGAAGGGCAGGGCGAGGAATGCGCTGTAGGTGTGGGCGCGAGATGTCGGACCCCGAGGGCGGTTCCCGCTCGAGCGGTGGCCCACCTCCGACAGCACGCACCCATAGTGCCCCCCAGAATTCCACCCCAGGAGTTCTGAGGGACGTATAAGTATGGGTGTTAGCTGTCAACTCGTGACTTCTGAAACATTTTCCACGCCTTCCCCGAAGACACGGAAAACTATTCAGAATGCCGTAGGCCTTCTGAGAAGCCCCGCCGCCTTCTGAGAAGGCCTTCTCCTTCTCACTTCCCCCCCTCGCTCGCCACCGAGCTGGAGCGGCACGACGCGCACCACCTAGAGGCCTCCCAGAATGGGGTCCGAGCAGATGGGGTCGAAGAGATAGCGCCACAGCGTCGATTCATCGGCGATGCACCGGCGACGTCGGTAAGACATCATCGACGTCGGCGTGGAGAAGATCGGGCTCCACATCGAGCCGCATCTCGCCGATGCATCGGTGATGCGGCGCGATCCTCCGACCACGTCTACTCGGATCCCATCTGGGAGGGCTCGGCTACACCCGTGCTTAGAGTTCCCAAAAAGTATCCTGGCGAAGGGCCCAACCATATGCAGTTGTGGGTATCACCGTTGTGGGCATCGCAGTCGGTGGATCTCTTCATGGGGCACCGAAGCGTGTGAAAGGTGTGCCGAAATGGGGCAGGGACGCATGCGGGCGCAGCCGTTGGGGCCTTCGATGGCGCTCCATATGGGGCCACGAAGAGTGAGAGGGGTGTGCCGAAATGGGGCGGGGACGCATGCGGGCGCGGCCATTGGGGCCTTCGGTGGCGCTCCATAGGGGGCCACGAAACGTGAACCTGAGTGGGGGAGACGCATGCGAACAACGCCCCTGAGGCCTTCGGTGGACCTCCCTGTGGAGCCACGAAGCGCTGGGTGGGGGGAACGCTTGCGGACACCGCAACTGAGGCCTTCGGTGGAGCTCCCTATGCGGCCGCGAAACGTTGTACGGTGTGGGCGAAACGCACGCGAACACCGCCAGATGGAGCTCCCCCCCCATGGGGCCACGAGGCGCTGTACTAGGTGAGGGAAACGTATGCGAACACAGCAACTGGGGCCTTCGGTGGACCTCCCAATGGGGCCACGAATCGCTGTGCTGGGTGGGGGGAACGTATGCGGACACTGTCACTGGGGTTTTCGGTGGGGCCCCCTATGGGGCCACGAACGCTATACTGGTTGGGGGAAACGCTTGCGGACACCGCCACTGGGGCATTCGGTGGACCTCCCCATGGGGCCAGGAAGCGTTGTACTGGGCGGGGAAAACGCTTGCGGATACCGCCAAAGGAGCTTGGGTGGAACCCCAAACGTGTGAGGGGTGTGCCAAAGTGGAGGGGGGCGGCATGCCACTGGGGCCTTCGGATGAGCTCCTCATGGGGCCACGCAACGTGTGATGGTGTGCCACAGTGGATGGGGGCGGCATGCGAAGCACGCCACTGGGGCCTTCGGTGGAGCTCCCTATGGGGCCACGAAACGTGTGAGAGGTGTGCATAAGTGAGGGGGGTGACGGGAAGAGGGAGGAGGGGGAGGAGGAGGAGAGGAGTGGAGGAGACGTGGGGACCGTCTCTTCAAAACGAGGACCAAACTCAACACAGGATGGTTAGGAATAGAAAACATGACTTCACTCGAAGCGTTTTGTCAACCAGTAGTCCAGGTCCACACAAACGATTACGAGGAACAGGCGCTCCAAGAAAACGCCCAGGGGTTCAGTCCAGATCCTCGGTTTTCTCGTGCGACACCTGGAGTCCACGAAAATTGTTGCTTTGCATCTCCGAGGGGCGTACCTGACCGCCCAGCCACTCGCCGCTCAGCTCCACGCTCTGGATGTAGTTGCCGCACGGGTGGCCCGCAAAGGGCTGGACTGAGGCGTTCAGCTCGAGCTTGGCGGGCAGCCGCGGGTCCCGGGGGGCCCTGACCAGCACGTAGCTGCCGGGCATGTTGACATCGAACTTCTCGCCGCCGAGGTTCACAACGTGAGGGTCGTCCGTCGCTCCCCCCGCGTCGGTGGGGGCGGGCGTCGGGACCACCTGAACCGAAGGCCCGTCGATGGTGTCACAGATCTCCTCGATCAGCATGGAGCTGAAGTTATGGGCGCTGACGCCCATGAACTGGACCTCCTTCAGCTGGTGCGGGTCGGAGGGGTCCGCGTAGCATCCGCGCCAGGGGTCCGTGGGCTTGTGCGTCGAGTCGTACAGCATCGAGGTGAGCACGCCGTTGTCCAGGTGCCCCAGAATCAGGCTGATGTTCGCAGCCCTGATATCCTGCATGAGCTGGCACTGGCTGGCGTCGGTGTCGTAAGGCGTCCTCATGGAGTCCCTGTCCTTTGAGATCACCATGAGGATCTTCACTGCGCTCGGATCCCAAGGATTGTTGTGCAGCATTTGCCCCATCGCGCCGGCGTTGTCCTCGGGAGAGTCGCCGCCGCCCATGGAGTAGAATGGGGCGATCTCGTTCTGCAGCTGGACGGGGTCCTCAAACCAGTGCGAGAGCGGATCGGGATGCACTGCCCACTCGTAGCGGGGCGGGGTCACATCACCTTCTGGAGAAAAAAACATACGCATAAACTGTCTTAGCTCCACGCGGAGTCCTTGGATCGGCACTGGGCACCCCCAGAGCTTGTGTTTCTGCAGCTTTCTCTTCTGCGACCTTCGTCGCGGTAGCATAGGAACGCCATCTGCAACAGACTGACAGAGGCGTTGAACTCGACCGCCAGGTCGTACACGGTCGTCTTCAGGGCGTCGAGGTACGGTTGGGTGCTGCCGGTGCAGTCCATGGCGAAGCCGATCTGGAGCCAGGGGATCGTCTCGTTCAGGCAGGTCTCGTTCGAGGTGTCGTTCGAGGAGTTCAGGCTGGTCTCGAATATCTTCGTTCTGCTCAACTAGAGGACGAACAAAAACTGCATAATCAGAAATGTTCGGAGCTCCGCGAGGGTTTCTGGGATCCGCGCTGAACCCCCTCCTGGGCGCGCGGAGCGAGCCAGGGGCGGCGCCAGAGGCGCCGCCAGAGGGGCCCAGCGCTGACCAAAGAAATCCGCACTGAGCTCCGAACGTTTGCATTTACGCCGCGTTTTCTTCGATTAGCTGTGCCACCGGCTGCCGCTTGCTCATCGCGGACATCATCTCAGACCTCAGCGCGGCCTCCTCGCGGCCTGCCGCCACAGCGCGGCCGCTGGCGCCTGCCCCCTGCAGTGCCAGGGCGGACACCTGCGTGTGGAATGCGCAGAACGCCAGGAACGAAGTAATTGACTGCATGTCAGAGAATCAAGATGTACTAATAAGGTGGTGTATGAGTGTTTAGGTTAAGGTCTTTGACCAAATTGGATGGCTACGGAGGGGGAAGAAAAGGAGGAGGAGGAGGCGGACTGGACTGGACTACGACTGGGGCTCCAATGTCTCATGTGAGGGGAAAACTGCACGCGTGACGCCGTATCTACACCCTGTAGCTGTGTCGGGGCCTGTCAGGCGCGCTAAAATCGCCTCGCATGGGAATGGGAAAGGAAACTGAGCAACGTAAGCAACGCGTGGCGGGAGACGGGGAGGGGGCTAGCGAGTGGCGAGGGCCCAAAGGATGGAGGGACAAACGGAGGGAGCGAGAAATATTGGCAAGGGAGTTGAAGAGAAGTGGGCGCCGAGCAGAGGGTGCCGAAGAAAGAGCGGGGGTGGAGGTGGGGGGGGGGGGACCCAGGTAAAACTGCAGCTGGAAAGGAAGGAGGGAAAGGGGGGTCGAGGGGCAGTGGCCTCAGAACCCCGACGTCGGGAATTCTCCATGACGCAGTCCCCCGGAGGTGTCGACCCGCTGCCCAGAGGCCGACCTGCCACCCCGAATCGTCCACCGAGGCAGGAGAGACACGTTCAAGAATCAAGTCGGGCCTGTCCCTCTACAGGAGGAAAACTCCGAAATAGTTTAATAAAAAATAGTCAGGGGACGATTTCTTCCAGTATTATTTCTGACAATTTGGGGATATTTCTGAATCTGTTGAATGTTTCGACCAAGATCCGCATGCCTGGGGGCATGCCCGACCTGATTCAAGAGCCGCCCGTCGTGATTCTTGCTCGCAGCGCGATGGGGGGTTCTGGGGCAGGAAGGCGGCGCGGGCGGGAGAAGGAGGGGAGGCCCCCAAAACTGGAGGAGGAGGAGGAGCTGCCTAAGAAATGCCATGCGCTGGGCCCTGGAGGATCGACCCGCCGGCAGCCGCAGGGCATCAACGCAGGGCTGAACTCCACAAGAGGGCGCCGGTGCAGCCCCCGACCGCCGGGCAGGGCAGGGGCGCGGCGGGAGGGCGCCGCAGGTCGGTGTCCCTGCGCGTCGGGCGCCTCTTTGCCCCCGAGAGATCTTGCGCTCATCGACGCCGGTTGCTTCCACAGGCTGGCGGCCGCGGTGAAGCCCGATGGGGCAGCTGCACTTCGCGCGGGCCGGGACTCGCGTGCACGCCATTTCCATCCAGCGCTGTTTGGCAAGGCGGCGGAGGGGGTCACCTCCCGGCCTTTCCAGCCCTCTGCCTCCCCCCATTCCCCCCCGACTCACCTACCTCTCTTTTCATCCGCTCCAGTCTCGGCGCGAGAGCTTTGCCAAGAGCGAGCCCAGACGCCGAGCGCCCCGCATCCTCTCCCGCCTTGTGACACCAGACGCGACCCAGGTCGTGACATATTGGCAACACATCCCATTTCATGCCCCCGCGCGCGCCGCAATGTTTCCAGGAGGCCCTCGCCGTGCGCTTCATGTGCAGCTGCAGCCCAACAGGCAACCGCGCCAACCTTGACAGAAAGGAGATTTGCGTGGCCGCACTCCAGAGCAGTGGTGGCGTCGACCGAGCAGTCACTGCTTACAGCGAAACTGATCACAGACATCAAAACGATCTCGACACCATTTACCGGCAACACCGCTCCGACCAGAGAAGGCTCCACGGCGAGCTGACGATACTGCCCAGGAACAAAGTCAACGACATCACGCAATACCACCCTCAATACCACAAGACGGGCAACAGCCGTGACTCAGCAGGACCCGCGGTCCCCGCCGACGCCCACCAGGGCAACGGCACTGCCGTTCTCATCAGCAGTGATGCACCAACATTTTGACGTCCGATCGCGCTTCCGCTTCACGCGGCCGACCACGGGACCTTACGTGCCAGTGCCACCCCACAACCGAGCGTCAAAAACCATCAGACTACGACGACATACCGAAAGAAGACTTGAACCAAGAGTGGAAAGACTGGGGTGAAGCCTTGTTAGCATGGCTCTCCCAATCGAGAGGCCACGAGATCGCCGAGCTAACCGACGCCTGCTTCCGCGGTCTCGAAGCGGAGCACAAGAGGATTGCGGAAATTGCGACGGGCCTTGAAATCACGGTGACCAGGGAGGCCACCAGCCAGGCGGCGCTGGCCCAGCAATGCCACCAGCTCGAACAAAAAAAATCGCCTCGCACACACAGTGCAAGCCAGCCTAAGCACAAACCTGAAGGCGCTCTCGTCGACGATGGCGCTGCGAAACCAGTGCCAGGGCATTAGCGTGAACCTCCGATGCCAGCAAGAGCACCAACGACTGCGGCACCGGCCGAGGATCCCTGGAACTCCGCGGCCATGCGCCCTCCCGTTGCATCGTAAGGGGTAGCCGCCATCAACGGACCCCAGACTAAACCGATGCAGCCGCCACCACACCCGGCACAGCCGCCAGGGTGGTGCTCAGCGCGAACCCGGGCGGGGACACAGGGGCACCCGCGGCGGGGCAGCTCGCTAGGTCCACCAGGACCGAAGCGATGTCCGACCCCGCAAGCCGAGTCCAGCTACCGGTTCCTCCACGCACCCATGAAGGCACCGAGGAAGCGGTCACCAGCCAGGTTCATAGCCCCACTGACGGCCAACATGGCATCGCCATTGGGCGCACGGGGGATCATAAAAAAGACAGGGTAGCCCAGTCGGCCAGCGGCAACACCGCCACCCTACCCGCGTCAAGTATGATCCCGCGCTTCCACCATCAGCCGGAGAGGGGTGACGTTGCCTCAACGTCAGGGCCCAGGCCGGCTGAGACGTCGGACTCGCCGACGGTGGGGGATGTGGCGGAAACGCCAGCCCTGCCTTTGCGCGCGCGGAGACCCGTGCCCGGGGCTTGAGCGCGAGCCTCTCATGCCAGCAAGATTACCAGCGACTGCGACACCGACCCGGCTCGCGGACTCCTTGAAACTTAGATATTGTTTTTTTATTAATCCGGGTAACGGTTGTTACCCGGGGGGTATGTGCCGGCGGGTAACGGTAACGGCGGTCACGGCGTGCGCCCGCCAGGGTGCGTCCGCGCCATCGGCACATCATTGGCCTGCGCGCGATGCAATCCCTGCGCACGCGACAGCGCCAAATGCACTCGTGCACGACAACGCCACCTGAGTGCACCACTGTGCGCTTCGGTTCACAGCAACAGCTGCGTGCACAACGCCACCACGTCGCCCATGTACGCCGCAATATTGCAGCAGCCGTGTGCGCAAATGCGCTTGTGTACACCACATTGCCTGCGTGCACCACACCGCTTGTGTACACCGCAGCGCCTGCGTGCACCACAGCAACCATGTGCACCACAGCGCCCGCGCACGCCACAGTGGTTCCGTGCACCACAACGCCTGTGTACAACACAACGTGCCAACGGGCACATCAGTAGCTTGCGAAGCAATTTTTTTGCCCGCGGAAGCCTTCACGACGTCGCCCGTGTACGCCGCAGTGTTTTAATAGAAATGGAGGAGGCGGGAGGACTTAGGAACGGGTCGAGAAAAGGATCAAATGGGGATGGGGGCGGGGGGGGGGGGAGGTGAGAGTAGGCGGGAGGAGGTAAGATGAAGTATGGTGTTGGGTGCGGTAGGTTCGTGTCGCGGTGACCTCGGTTTTGGTTTATGACGCCGCATTGATAGTTCGATCTTGAACGATATCCGCGCCTCGAGGGCCCTGGGAACCCTCGACCCCATCTTCGGCGCCATGGGCTCGTTTCTGCGGGTCCCGGGGCCCGAAACGGACCGACGACGACAACGACAAGAACGACGACAACGGGCTCGGGAGGACGTGGGGGGAAAGTTACAAGACATGCGAGGACGCGGAAGGATGTGGGAGTTGGCCCTGCTGCTGTTGAGGACTCCAATAGTGTGGAACATCTGGACGTCGCTCTGGAAAGTAGTATCGATGGCGCGCAAGCTGCCGGGCTGGCCACTCTGTGTAGTTTCGGCAAAACTATCCGTAGCTTGCTTCGAACGAGAAGGCCAAGAGGATGTGTAATGGCATGGGAAAAAGGGGGAAACTCGGGAGCGAGGTGGGGGGAGAGGGAGGCCGGAGTGAGTGGGGGAGGTTGGAAGGAGGTGGTAGATTTTCTTGAAATGCCACAGAAGCAGATGAGAGCGAACAGCCACATCGTACCTCGGCGCGCCAGCACGCAACGAACATGTCACGAAATTCGGCCCGCAAATGAGAGCGAAAACCTACGAGGAGGACGACGAGGAGAGAGGGGGAGGACGAGGCGACGGGGCAAGGGTGCTGTGCGGATAACCCCATATGGCCCAAATGGCCACTTACATAATCCCAATAACGCACAGCGCAACCCAGGGGGGGGAGGAAGGAGAGGAGGAGGAGGGGCACCGGACGACAAAGAAAAGGGAGGATATCAGCAGGCGGTGGAGCAAGCAGGAGGAGGTTGGATTATGTTATGCTATCCAGCAACTGCACTCATGGCATCGTTCGACGTCGCCTCGCCTTCGTCAGCGCCATGTGCAAGGGACGCGGGATAACCGTAGCTCTACCCAGACATGCCTGCGAAATTCCCTGGCAGCACTGCTTCCAGAGTTCCACCAGTAGGAAGAGAAGGGGAAGAAAACATAGGGATGCAGACGTAAACTACACTAGTCTGCGCACTGCAATAGCCTGCAGGCGCCACAACAGGCAAGTGAGCACCGACACATGCGTTTTAGCACCACGCCATGCCTGTGAATTCGGCGTCGCGGCCGGTGGGGAACCTGCGAACGCCACAACATGTCTGTGAGCACCACACATGCCGTTCAGCACCACGCCATGCCTGTGAGCACAGCGCCATACCTGCTGAGAGGAGGGGGGTCCGCCCCCCACCCCCAAACAACCTAAGATCGTTAGCGTTATCTGGGGGGGGGGGCCCTGGGTAAGAACAGTTACCCGCTACAGGAAAAACAAAAAATACCTCATTTAACTCGCGGCAGCGGAAGCGTCGCGACAAGCTCCGCAAACACCGACGCGGGCGACAAGCCCCCGACGGGC